CACACACACACTTCCGCTCTGAGAAAAGGTCAGCTCATTCACGCAGACGAACTGGACTCTGCGCTGATAACAGCACACAGGAAGCGCTTCTGGCCCAGCATGACCGTGACACAAACACAAGAGCCAGTCAAACGTCTGCTCAAGGTTTCCATCGCTCCCACACTCCCGTGTGCCCTGCGGACAGGAAGCGCTCCTGCTGTCACAGGAAGTGCTCCCGCCGCCGGCGGCTCAGCCGTTGTGTGAGAGAGAGGGAGAGAGAGAGAGAGACGCCTTTGGAAAAATGGAGAGCCAAGAGATTGTGAGATTATGAAGAATCACTCCTACAGCTGGGCTGAAAATACAGATTTCTCGATTTGAATCGATTCTCATTTTGATGAACTGATATTCATTCTTAAATACCAAGAACCGGTCTGTGCTGTCGTCAGTGAACAAAACTCCAGGAAACATTATTTGTAGCAGGCCACCCATCTGATAAATCACTATAAGCTTAGTGCTTTGCTACTTTTGATATGAAACAAAGTCTCAACTTATCAATTCTGGCCATGTTATTATAAAATTCAAACAAATGCGGTTTTGCTGCTTTTTAATGTGTGCTGACAGATGCACGTCACATTTACCTCAAGAAAACCATTCAATGACCTAGAAAAATAACTCTAAAGGAGGAGCATTTTGCTAAATATATACACTACATTACATATTAATAGAGCGTATGAACGATGAATTATGTTGATGTATAAAATAATCACTTAGAACATTGATGATATCTGCTACATTAATCATTAATGTTGGTTCTGTTCAGTTTACCCTAGGGGGGTTATTTATTCTCTAATCCATGCTAGGCTGCATGAATGGGCAGGGAGTGCTGCCCAGAACAGAACCATACCCCCAACCTAAAATGTATGCTAACTGTAAGTTATCTTTGACGATAGTGGTCCTGACAGAAATTACATTTTACTTCAACATTTAATGCATGTTTGAATAAATCCATCATGAAAAGAAGTGACGATGTCCACTGTTTAAATAAGGGCTTCTCAACTCTGGGCCTCGAGGTCCACTTTCCTGCAGAGTTTTGCTGTAACCCTGATCAAACTCACCTGCCTGTAGCTTTCCAGTGATCCTGAAGACCTTGAGAATCTCGTTCAGGTGAGTTTGGAGCTGAACTCTGCAGGAAAGTGGACCTCGAGGCCCAGAGTTGAGAACCGCAGGTTTAAATGTTTTTATTTCAACAACAAACCAGAGTACAAACAGAATTATATCATTGAAATATAATATTATAATTTATGTGCAATTTGAATGTTTAATAACAAACCACTTTAATATTATTGTAATGTACCAAACTGACAGGGTTTACTGTGTAGTTTGCAGCATTATAATAACAATAATAATAATAATAATAATTCATTACATTTATATAGCGCTTTACATTGTGAGGGGGATCTCCTCATCCACCACTAGTGTGCAGCATCCACCTGCATGTTTTGACTGTTTATATTTTCAAATAAACCAAAATCAAATCAAATTGAATTGAGATTGAAATTGAATCAAATCGCAAGCATGTGAATCAATATTAAAATACGTGAAATTTGTCTCAATACTAGCTCTGGCCCAGAAGCGCCCACTGAAGACAGGAAGAGACCGTCTGCTCATCTGAAAAACACTGTCTGATGGTTTGCAAATATCCAATCAGCCATGATGTGGTGGATCCTCAAAACACAAAGCATTAGGGCTGTCAATTTTTTTTTTAGAATTTCGAATATTCGTCGAATTTAAAATAAAAATCCATTCGAATGCAAAAATGTTGCATTCGAATTTTAGGTGTGCGTTAAGGAGGCAGCCTTATCAGCGGCGCACGAGATGCGATGACGATGTAAGTGTCGTCGCATTATAATGTTTTTCTTAGTCTATCCAGTTGAAGCCACTGGATGCGGCGCTGCTGCGTTGTTCATTAAAAATATAGCGGAAAAAGAGAACATCAAAGCGGAGAAGATCTTGTTTACATCAAAACTGAAACCAAGCTGTTCACACAGAACACATATTTCATGCATTTTCTAGACAGACATCTACCACTGTTGCACTCGTGTCTCACACAAAAGAGCCTTATGTTTAGAAAGCCATGTAAAATTAATGCAAGTTCAACTTTGAAAAAAACATATCTCGAGACTTTATGGCGCCTTTTTCCCCATCCCACTGCAACACGTGTTTTTAAATGAAAAATGTACTCTGTGATTGGCTTTCGGCCCTTTGTATTAAACGATACATACATACATGATGCTGTTTTGTTTATAGTTGTTTAAGCAACATAATTATAATTGGTTTATAAACATTATTTTAAACATTATGCGCTTTTTTCACAGATAGTCTGTTTTCTTATGTTTTGAGTACGTGCATTAGTAATATTTTGCTCGATGCGCCCTCTTGTGGCCTCAGGAGAGAAGCCAAAAGCTTTTCTTCACCCTAACTGAAATTATGCATTTTAAATTCGAATATAATTCGAATTTTGATAATATTTAAGTAAAAAATTTGAATTTAGTTTTTCAGCCATTTTGACAGCCCTACAAAGCATGCAGCTGTGGTCGCTCACAGTCAGGCTCACGGCTGACCCGTGTGTGTTCAGGGATGAGTGTGTGTTAGTGTTCACCTTGGTGGCACACAGACGGGCATTTGTGGTTCCTGCAGCCCAACATTCGAGTGCAGCTCATGTCACACGGAGGGCAGCTCCCTGGACAACACTGCAAACACACACAGCTATCAGTGACACAAACACAATGTGAGGTGAAGTGTGAATGAGACACACTCATGTGTGTCAAAAAGATGTGTGTGTGTGTCACAAACCTTTCTCTTGCACTGGTGTCGGCTGCAGGCCCGTGTCTTGTTGCATTTGGACTCGCAGAGATATTCCTTATGACAGGGCAGAAGTTTGCTGTAGCGGCCACATCGGCACGTCTTTTCTACCTCCTGCACACACACACACAAACACACACACACACACACACACACACACACACACACACACACAGACAAATTCCCCTCTAATCAGTATCTACGTTCACAATGGGCTTTGGTTTCGGGAAACGGTTAAATTTCTTCTTTGTAAATGCAAGCCTGGGCTGGAATGCCAGAAAATTCGATCTGGTTATCAGAGACTCCTAACATCATCAGGATCAATCCTGGAACACGTTAGCTCTCGTTTCGACTGAGAGCATCATATTGTGAGATTAGCATTGTGTATCGAACCAAATCATGGCATGAGTGTATCGTTACACCCCTAATAATAATGCAATGGCAGGACAGTTAGAGGAGCACCGCCTGTGTAAGACGCTAGCGAGTGTTACGGCTCGTGTGTGTGTGTAAGTGAGTGAGTGTGCGTGTGTGTGTGTGTGTGTGAGAGAGAGAGGGGGTGTTTGTGTGTGATTGAGTGAGTGAGTGAGTGTGTGTGTGTGTTTGTGAGTGTGTGTGTGTGAGTTTGTGTGTGAGTCTGTGCGAGTGAGTGTGTGTGTGTGTGCGCGCACCTGTCGGCAGGTCTCACAGGCTCCTCTGTGGCAGCGCATTGAGCAGGTGTGTAAACCACAGTCCAGTTTCTTCCCGCAGGTGTCTCCACAGGTGGGCACATCCACCGTACACGGTAACACGCTCTCTGAACAAACACAGCACTGAATGAAACACACCGGAGCCCTGCAGAACTGCTTGATGAACATGAAGTAATATCTGCATCCACATGCTCAAGTGCAGAACGGTTTGTACGAGGCACCAATCCTACTCCCTGACATGGGAACTAACTCTGATTTTACTCCAATCAAATCATAAATTAAAACAGAGATGTCTTTTTACAAAACTTTCATTTTAAATGTGATAAATATGATTTTATATGACAGCTTGATTCTATTAACTAAAACTTGTGCATTAAACCAGTACATGATGTTTTAACGGAAAGGTAAAATACAGAAAGGTTTGTGTGAGGGTTAGGCAACACAAAATACCATAATATCATCTCAAAACCAGGGCTGGCGATTGAAGTATATCAATGTCATTTGCAAATATTATTTTTCTGTCATTAATGCTTCAACACATTCAGTTCCATTTTAAGTAAAGAAACTAAACAACAGGCTGCTAATAGTGTGTGTGCGAATGTAAGTGTGTGTACTGGTATTCACTGTTATGTGGACTAGAGCCCGACCGATATGTTTTTTTTTGGGGCCGATACCGATACCGATATTAGGGAGTAAAAAAAAGGCCGATATCGATATTTCGGCCGATATTCTTTGACCAGGGGTAGGCGAGTTCGGTCCTAGAGAGCCGCAGTCCTGCAGAGTTCAGCTCACCTCACCTGCCTATAGCCTTAGTAATCCTGAAGACATTGATTAGCTTGTTCAGGTGTGTTTGATTATGGTTGGAGCTGAACTCTGCAGGACTGCGGCTCTCTAGGACCGAACTCGCCTACCCCTGGTGTAGGGCAATAGAATATACGGTCTGTACAGTACGCCTATGAAGAGTCCCCACAAGGATAGCAAACCAGACATGTGTGTGTGTGTGTGTCTGTGAGTGTGTGTGTCTGTGTGTGTATGAGTGAGTGTGTCTGTGTGTGTCTGTGTGTGTATGAGTGAGTGTGTCTGTGGGTGTGTGTGTGTCTGTGAGTGTGTGTGTGTATGAGTGAGTGTGTCTGTGAGTCTCACGGCCTGTGTTCTCCTGACAGAAGCGATGCAGATCAGACACGTGACTCCTCCAGACTGACACACTTCATGTAAGTAATGACGGGTCTTCTCCAGAAGACGGATGTCAGCATCACCTGAACACATACACAGACAGAGCATTTCCTCTTCCTCTCTCACAGAAGATCATCAAATCATCACGTGTGTGAGTGTGAGGTCAGTACCCGTGTGAGAGCTGTACGGAGAGAGAGCTGACTGGAGAATCTGCCCCCGCTTCCCTCCATCTTCACTAACGTCATCCTCATCCTCAGAGGAAGAGCTGTGTGTCTCTGTGGCCAATCGCTGCGCAGCCGACTGGTCAGTCTTCCTGATCTCCTCAAACCTGGACTGAGACGACACTGCAGAGAAACAGAGAGACCGATGGAAACGGCATCTGATCGGAGAGAGCGCGAGCTGGAGTGAATCTCATCCCGTTACTCTACCTTTCAGCTCGCTCGCTCCTCTGACCTCTGACCCCACAGCTCCAGGAGGACGTGCCGTCGAGGGGTTGGCGGTGATCTGACCTCTGCCCTGACCCCGACCTCGACCCCGCTGTCTCCACGCCGGATCCATGAGTCTGAAAGCAAGAGGAGAAGTGTGTGAAAGATGATGGACTGAATCTGACAACACGAATCGCTGTAAAATCACTAATGAAACAAGGTAAAAGTAGGGTGACGAAACGTATTGTGGTATTTGTACAGAAGGGAGTAACCACGGAGCAGTGAAAATATTCCCGATCATAATCCAGTACTTTGATTGGAAGAAGGGCGGTGTGCAAACAAAATTAATTGAGGTGAAAGACACACCTAATGAGACAGCAGAAACCATTGCAAATTATCTCACTAAAACACATGCATTGCATTTACTGGAGACAACTGCAACACAAATTTTGGTGGAATCCGACGTGATGAAGGGGGAAACAATGTGTTTGCAAATTTGAAGAGGTTGCTGCAGAACAAGACTCTGATTGGTGTGGGTTGCCCAGCACACATATTGAATAATTGTGTTCATCATGGGGCAGACACAATAGATGTTGACCTTGAGAATATCATGTTTAAAATCTACCAGTACTTCCACATTTACACTGTGCGCACTGAGAACCTGAAGGAGTACTGTGATTTTGTTGACATTGAGTACAGGAGGATGCTTTCTCACAGCAAGACAAGGTGGCTGTCATTGTTCCCAGGCATTGAGAGGATGCTACAGATGTTTCCAGCTTTAAAGGCATTCTTTCTGTCACAGCAAAAGCCACCCATAGTGATCAAGAAGTTTTTTGAAAACGACTTCAGTGAGATTTACCTGTGGCACATGCACTCACTCATGTCTGTGTTCCACACCCACATTCAACAAATGGAAAAGGAGAACAACTCCATCATGGAGGTGAAGAAAATATTGAACAGCATCCACAACATTCTTCTTGAACGTAAGAGCAACAATTTCATGTCTCTTAAAGTTAAGGGACTACTGGCAGAAAATCGCAGAGATGGACTTGGTGAGGGCTGTGACAAGTTCTGTGCTGATGTGCAAGGCCTGTACAGTGCATGTCTGGAGTATCTGGAGAAGTGGATGGCTCCCATGGAAGAGCTCTCAACATTTATGTGGATGGATATGAGTGAGCCACCAGATTGTAATGATGTGGAGGCCTGCATCAAGTACCTAAGAGAGAAGGGGGTGCCAATTGATGATGTCAAGTGTTTTGACCAGGTCGCCAATCTGAAGAAATTAATAGAAAGGTGCAACAGTGATGAGAAGTTAATTGGCCTGCAGGTGCACCAGAAGTGGACCAAATACTTTGAGAAGGCCAAAAGCATTGCATGCTACTCAGAACTACTGAAGATTGCACAGTTTGTCTTTGCACTTCCCTCTCACAATGCAAATGTTGAGAGGGTTTTCTCACTGATGCAGAGCCAGTGGACAAAGGAGAGGAACCAGCTCTCTGTTGAGTCATTGAAAGGGATTCTATTTGTGCAATACAACTTCAAAGACACTTCTTGCAAAGACATTCATGCTTATTTGTTAAGCAACAAAAAACTGCTGGGAAAGATCAGCTCTACAGCAAAATATAGATGGGCAAACAAGGAGGATGAGGAAGAAAAACAGGATGAAGAGGAAAACGAGGATGAAGAAGAACACTAAAGATATAGATATTTTTTGTTAGTTTTTGTAAGCTTGTGAGAGCTATTTTTGTTAAATTTGGATTGCTAATATAGCAGAGGTATTTTTAGTTATTTATTAAGAGACATTATTTCTATCATTTCATTCGTTATTTTTGAAACTTGTCATAATAAAACATGTTGAGTAACCTCCGAGAAGCCTATCTGAATTTGTGTCTTTGGTTATAGATAGTATTTTGTAATATAACATACAGAGGAGGCATACTTTAAATGTATTGAAATTATAAGGCATTTTTGAGTAAACTTCGAGTATAATTTGAGTATCTCATTGCCGGGCCGAGTGTCCTGGTTTTCGGTAACTTAATCAAAATATGGTCACCCTAGTAAAACCACTTAGGAAACATTGAAAGAACACAGAAAATCAAATATGGTAAAACCGTAAAAATCCCTGAAGGAACACCATTAAATCTCTGAAATGAGTGAAACCACCAATAAAACACGGCAAATCAAGGTTAAATCTCACACGACATGCTGTAAACAAGAGTAAACTCACTAAAGAACGAAAATGAACAACTGCTGGTGAAACATGGAAAAATCAGGGTAAAATCTCACTGTAAACAAGAGTGAAATCACATGAAACACAGCAAAAATGTGAAACATGGTACATGAGGGCAAAAGCTCTGACAAAACACAGTAATTATCTCTAATGAAACACGGTAGAACATGGTAAAGTCACTGACAAAAGCGGTAAAATAAGATAAAAGCATTACAGAACAGATGTCAGCTTTCAATAAAAGCGACTGTTCCCTCCCTGGATAATTTCATTTGTAATTTAATAAACCAGTGTATAATCATGTGACAATGTGCGCGAAATGTGAAGAAAAATGATTTGATATAAGTTAAGTATAAACAGTCTTACCGACACGAGTCACTCTAACGATCAGCACGCCCGCGGAAGACGGCAGCAACGCAGAGCATGATGGGAAATGTAGTCGTTAACCGCTCACGGTGAGGCGGAAACCACCCGTAAAAACGACAACTCCCATCAGCGTTCAGAAAGCGTCATTCAATGACACGTCAGCTTTTCACACTACCAGTCCTTCATTAAACATTTATAAAAATAAAAATAAATGTTTTTTTTTTTAATTACTACATACATACACACGGATTTTTTTTACAGCCCATTTAGTTCTCTGATTAAACTTTTAACCAATATTGCCAGAGCAGCATCGTTATTAGTGTTTCTCTCTAAGTATAAATGTTTATTACAAGAGTTTTGAGTGAAACTAAATCATACAGTCTTATGCTAACAAAAAGGATTAATTTTTTCTTTATATTCTCTCATGATAGAAATGACAGAATAAACACATGATATAATCAGTCTAACCACAGATACATGCTGTGTACACCGACCATCTGTACAATATCTTACATTTGCATGCTACCTGTTGCATGAAGATGAAAGAACCAAACAAAGATTTCTCAGATTTCTTCTTCATTCACACACTGCTGTGGTAGACTGACAGCCCAGGATAAATGTGATGTTGGGCAGGAGCTGATGTGTATCTACGGTTTTATCCATCCCCACAAATCCAGTCCGAACCCAAGACGGACCACAAAATACACAAGGCTTCTGTTCAAAGTTCTAAAACTAATACAATCTAGTTTAACCAGGTTTATCTGCAGCTTTCATCTCATTCCTTCTCTTCTTTCTTCTCTGCAGTCGCCAGTTCCGGGTCCAGCATCTCAGAGAGAGCCGCTCCGCTGGAGTCTGTGATCTTCTTTTCTAATTTAGTCACGCGCTTCTTCAGTTTGCCTTGTGCGGCTTCGTGTTCGGCTAACAGGCGGGCGAAGCGCATCTGAAGGTCATCCAGCACGCTGCCGATCTTGATGACCTTTTCCTCCATGTCTTTGGGATCGGGACCCTGCTTGGCCAGCTCTAAATCCAGAAGATTGTCCTATAAATAAAAATGATCAAACATTCAAAATGTGAATTGACACTTTTATAGCTTCCGTTTAGTGTATATATATATATATATGCATTCCAAATAGCATGCATGATGCATGTGTAGAGCGTTTGGAAGGGAAAACACAGAAATACCAGCAAGAGTGCAGACGGACAGCACCAATGAAGCCCATGACTGCTCTTTGATCTTAGGGATACTAGTTTATATACTTTTTTGAGGAACAGAGGAATATGGCTGTCTTTAGCACACACATAAGTGGCACTGCAATGCGCAGCTGCGGTTGAAAACTAACCCAGCTAACAAAGAAAGTTCTCAGAACTTTGGCTAACATTTGGGCACAGTTTTCTCAAAGTTATGAACAAACGCTCTTCCAGTAACGTTAATGGAACATTTGTTCAGAGTTATCTGGTCTTTATTAATCTTCCCAAAACATTAGCACAAAAATGTTTCTACAATGTTTTATTTCTGAAACATTTTAGTTGGGCGTTCATCTAAAGCCCAAAGTATACTTCGGTTTTTACACGTATGTGAGGTTCTGCCTAGAGTGCGCGTGATGCAGATTTCGTCATCAGAATAGTATGTAGTATGCAGGTCACACATGCACATTGAATTTGTTTTGCACTAATCAGTTGTTCCACAAGCTGGCAGCACTGGCCCGGGCCGCCGTTTCACACTAGAAAATGCAACTAAAGAGATGGAACAACAACAACAAAATTGACAAGCGCTTGTGTGAAAGGGTTATGAGAGAGCCGCAACTTTAGTTTAAAAGAGTACAAAGACATTTTTATCGGCCATAACCTCTGAAGAAAAACAGTGCAGACACTGCACAAAGATGAAGCTTTCTAGTGCGTGTGTGTCGACTGCCTGCGTTTGCGTACAATATCAAATGGAATATACTTTGTAAGGCTCCGCGTTCAACAGTGCATGTAATTTTTAAAATGTTAGTACTTGTTTCAAAATGTCTGGAGAACATTCAAAATAGCATTCCCATAACGTTTGCATGTTCCTTTAACGATCGTATAACCAAGAATTAAGTAAAAAAAAAAAAAAAAATGGACGTTAGAGAACATTCAGAAATAATGTTTTCGTTATATAATGAAACATTAGAAAAACATTCTTAGAACATATTTTTGTTAGCTGAGAATTCTTCAGAATCGTTAAAGAGTAAATTTTTTGTTCCCACTCTTACTGACCGTCATGCCGCGTGGTTCCGTTTGACTCTACATAGGGTTCGATGCATTAGTCTCTCGAGGCTCATATGAAAGGGCCGTTTACTGAACCGCATACCTTCATAAGGATTTGTCGTCCCTTCTCCTCCAGCATGGCCTTGGCGTCCGGATATTCGGTCAGCGCCTCCATCAGGTCGTCTTTGGACAGGCAGAAGAGGTCAGAATAGCCGATGCTGCGGATGTTGGCGGTTCTTCGGTTGCCTGCCCTACTGCCCTTGATGTTGAGGATGCTGATCTCTCCGAAGTAGCTGCCGTCACTCAGCACCACGAACTGCGTAACTCCATCGTCCGCCACCACGGCCAGTTTTCCTTCCTTAATGATGTACATCTCGCGGCCGATGTCACCCTTCTTGCAGATGTAGTCTCTGGGGCTGTAGACCTGCGGCTGAAGCTTCAGCACCAGCTCCACCAGCAGCCCGGCCTCGCAGTCTGCGAAGATGCGCACCTTCTTCAGAGTGTCCAGGTGGACGTTTATAGCGATCTCCGCCCGCAGCTTGTCTGGCAGGTACTTCAGCACTTCTCTCTCATCGACTGCTTTCTTGTTGGTCCACAAGTAATCGAACCACTTGATGACCCTTTTCTCCAGGTCTTTGGTGACCTTTCGGAAGCTCATGTACTGTTTGATGGCGTCGATGCGAGCCTGGAAATCTGCTCGCGCCGCGTTGGCGTTGGTGATCATGGAGCCGACGTTACCGACGATGGTGGCAAAAATCAGTACGCCGACCAGGAAGTCCATTACCACGAAGAAGTACTCTGAGTTTTTAACAGGGGGCGGCGTTTCGCCGATGGTGGTGAGCATGAGCGTGCTGTATGCGTACTTTCTCACCAACCGGCTAAACTCCGGGTCCGAGGGGTCCGGATACACAAAAGCGTCCGACCCGAAGCCGATGGCCTTGGAGAAGGAGTAATACATGCAGGCGTTCCAGTGGATGATGATCACAATGTACATGACGAGGTTGGAGATTCGGAACACGTTCGGAAAGTTAGTCCGTGTTTCGGTTCGCTGGAAAAACTCGAACAAGCGGTTGACCCTGAGTAGCTTGTTCATGCGAATCTCGGGGTAGTTCAGACCGAAGTAGAAGTAGAAGATGTCGGTCGGAACCATAGAGGCCAGGTCCAGCTTGAACTGGACGCTCTGCATGTAGCGATCACGAAGCTTCTTCTCGTCTTTCACCAGGAGCCCCTGCTCCAGATATCCTGCAGACGAGCACAAACAAACCAAGATTTCAACACGCTCAGTGTTCAGTACGGACACGTCTCCTGATTAGGGTTGCAAAGGGGTGGAAAATGTCCAGTAAATTTCCAGAAACTTTCCATGGAAAGTTAAGCTAGGGAATTTTGGAAATATTGCAACGGGAATTAAATTAAAAATTGGAGTAATACATACAAACTATATCATATACAAACATAAATATAAAAAGTCCCATTAAAAATGTCAGTTGGGGCATGTGGCACTGTTCTGAGGAATAAGATTAGAAAAAAGCTTGTAAAAAAACACTATGCAGTGGCATGCACAGATGTATAAATAGTTAAACAACTGAGATATTCTGGAAAGGTAAAAATATTTTACAATTGATGCTGGGCAAATGAATAGATATAGTCTTAAATAATACATTTAGAATATCTGATTTACTGGCTAGCTAGATGCTGTATAAACACATTTTAATTTAGTATTTGCTAGTTAAACTTTAATACCATAGATCAGATATATTTACCCTGGTAATTACTTGAAAAGCTTTCTTGACTGCTCAAATGCAGTAGCGTGACTTTAACGGTCCTGCTGTAGTGTGCAGATTCTAGAAATGATTTGTGCATGTGATTGAGCAATGCACAGTGCAGAAATTCAACTGAATTTGCATTAAATATGGTTGTTTTAACCAAGATTATGCTGCAAGATATTGTTTTTCAAATACTGAGTTCTGGCATGAAACTCTAGATGGCGCAGTCCGATAGGTTTAACTCAGTCTGTCCTAATGACATCATTATCACATGGCACAGCTGATTGGTTCGCTCCTGTATCGGTAGCCAATGAGCTCGCTGCTCAACATTCAAATATATGACTAGTGCTTTCCGTAGCAGTTGCAGCGCACTTCAGAAACCCTCCACCTTCCCCAGCTCCACTTGTATAGATCTGCTACGAGCTGATTCATGTATGCTATATGGGGGTTATTTCATGTATGTTATATGTGCAGCAGCAGTATTTCTTAAATGCTCATTGGCAGCAAGTCTCGGTACTTGCTCTGCCGCAGCAGCAGCGTAGCAGATCTATTCCGCCAAGACCAAATACATTAACATTGTCATGTACATTACCATGCCAATCCCTCCGAGAGTTGTCATGACAGAACTACATTTAAGTTCCCTGTTATAGGCTAACCTGCAATTTTGCAAATTTCCAGTATATTCCCTTTAATAATTCCCATGGAAAGTTTCCAACTTTGAAAATGTCCAGAATCCTGATGGAGCTGCACTCACCTGTCCTGGTCCTGAACACCATGTCGAGCACATACATCAGATCAGATAAGTAATCCAGGATGAACCATAACATCAAATAGTCTTTCTGCAATTCCTCAAGGCAAGCTCTGAGAGACAGAGAGAGAGAGTCTGCATGTAACTAAACTCAAACTCAGGATCAAAGAGCAGAGTGTTGTTTTGTGACGTGACAGTAAGAGCAGGCACCTCGCTATGATGAGAATCCAGTTGTACATAACAGGACACGTGATCACAAAGAGCCAGTTGTAGTACATGTTTCCTGCTGGATCCACAACCTCAATCTCCTTTGGTCTGGAAGATGACATTATAGAGTTTTAGAGTCTAAATGCAGAATGGCACACATTATCTGCACAAAACATGCATCCCATCTTGCATTGTTGAAACGAACAGATCACGATTCTCTAGTGGCATAATGTCATGCTTCACCTTTAACAAATATAAAATATCAATAACAGAGACAAAGATGATGGAGTGCAGGAATTACTGACAGTCTAAACAAAGAGGAACCTACTGTTCTTTCCTCTCTTTCTCTTTCTCTTTCTCTTTCTCTTCTGTTTCTTTTTTCTCTTCCTTCTCCTGTTTTTCCTTCTTCTCTTTTTTCCTGAAATAACACAAATAGGTAGAGTAAACATCAATGAATCAATGAAACAAATTTGAAAAATCATCTCATCTTACTCTTTCTTCTCCTTTTTTTCTTTCTTTTTTCTTCTTTTTGTCCTCTCTGTAAATATAAGACCAATAAAGATTAAACCAGTTAAAAGCACTTTGTGTAAGTGTGTGCTGTGGTTTGTGTGTAGTGTGTGTACATGAACTCACTCTTCATTGTTATTGTTGGTGTTGGTGTTGAAGAAATCTGGGTGCTTATTTTCTCTTTGGAAAAAAGTCAAATCAATAACCAATAACTTATAAATCATTAACCAACCACTTATTTCTATCTGAGATAATCCATTTATCTGTCACCCATAATATGTGTCACCCATGGCCACATAATGTCCTCTGTGGCCATGGCAACCTGCTCCACCCCCTCCAAGTGAAAAGTGGGTGGGTCCACAGGCCTCACCCGAGCAGACATCCCAGCTGATTGGTCAGGCCACCTGCCCGTCACACAGTACTGGAGAAAAAAAAACACATTTCACATTTTATAAACTGTGCAGATGTAGTTCACAACAACTACACGAATCAGAAGAACTCAGATTTGAAAAAGCCAAATAAACACATTTTTTAAAATGAATTTCAATGCACTTCAAGTGTTAAAAAAGAAAGACAACATGCAGTACTGGATTTCTGCTGTGCTGAAATTTTAACAGCAAAACTCTCTCAGTATGTCATAAACACAAGCAGCACAGTGACAGTGGAATCTGCAGCCTCATTTCCCCTTTTGTTTTCAACCGAAAGGACAGAGATGAACAGGACAGGTGAAGCGTCGGTACTCACCTGCTGCTGCCTTCATACACCTTCATTATCATCATCATCATCATCACAGGTATGCCAGCGAGAGCATGAGCTCATTCTCTCACACACACCTGCTCTGCTGAAATCATGAGAGTATGTTTTTGATGAACCTGGAATGGTGCTAATTTTGTTGAGTATTCCCAAACGATCGCGGACCACGAGAGGATTTCAGGCACAGGCACAGCAGGATTTGGGATTACACAGATGACAGTCACCAGGTCACTCGCTCACACTCACACACACACACACACACACACACACACACACACACACACA